TCCCGCTCCGTTCCTTCCCCTCCAGCCTCTCCTGCCGGGCCCACCTGGCTGGGCTGAGCTCCCAGGAAGTTGCTGATTGTTTGGGGGTGGAAGTGACAGCCGGGGGGGGAGCCTGGAGGGCAGGAGCCATGGCCACCACCTGCAGGGAGGCCCGGGGGGGCAACCAGGCCAACCTGAGCTTCAATGAACTCTTCGACGAGCGCTGGGTGGAGGTAGAAGGTGGAAAACAAGATGGCGACCTACTCTACGGCAGGCCTGAGGCCTACACAAGATGGCTGCACTCTCTACCAACCCTACCAGGCCTTGTAGGCCTTGACCTCCGACCCCTCCACACCCTCCTAGCCAATCAGGAGCCTCGTCGGGCTGCCCTGGGTGCCGCCATTGGGCGTTACATCAAGGAGAGGGCGTTGAGGGTCAACGGCAGCCATCTTGGGGTCAACCAACATGGCGGGTGTTCGCGGCACCGTGGAACCGCCCGCCTGGAGGTGGTGGTGAGGGAGGGGCGGGGGTGGGCAGGGGATCATGTGAGCGCCACTGACGCCTATGTGCGGGTGGGATTTGGGGGGAAACTGGGACAAACTGGGACGGTGTGGAACAAGCAGCGGCCATCTTGGAACGAGCGGATTGACTTGGGTTGGGTGGAACTGGGGGGGTCCCAGTTGAGGTTGGAGGTGTGGGACGAGGACAACCAATGGGACGATGACTTGTTGGGGGCGTGTGAGGTGGGGGTGGAGGCAGGAGCCAATCAGGGGGTGGTTTGTTACCCTGGGGGGGGCAGGTTGGAGGTGACGTATCGGGCCACGTGTGGCCCGGCCTTGGGGGGACCTTCTTGTCACGATTATGTCCCCCAACCTGTGGGGGGAGGGGAGGGGACCCGGGGGTTCTCCCGGTGGCCCCTGGAACCCCCAACTTGGGTTGGCCATGAAGATGATGAAGAAAATGAGGAAGATGATGAGGAGGAGGAAGATCTGGAGAACCTCGACCCCTTCTCCCAGGAGGGGGTGGGGGGATGGGGGGAACCCACTGACGCCTTCGGGGACCTCCCGGGGCCTCTGGGGGGGGAGGGGGAGGGTCCCTGGAGGGTGGATCCGATAACTGGGGCCCAGGAGCTTCTGGATCCAACTCTGGGGTCTGAGGAGGCTCCTCAGGAACTTCTGGATCCTCTTGTTGGGTCCGAGGAGACTCCTCAGGATCTTCTGGATCCAACTTTTGGTTCCAAGGAGGCTCCTCAAGACCTGGATCCTCTTGTTATGTCCCAGGAGGGTCCTCAAGACCCTCTGGATCCAACTCTTGGGTCCATGGAGGCTCCTCAAGAGCTTCTGGATCCATCAACTGGTTCCATGGAAGGTCTGCTGGAGACGGATCCTTGACTTGAGCCCCTTTGGAGGCTCCTCCAGGGCCCCAGGGCATGATGGGAAGGGGGGGGAAGGGAGGAGCAATAAAAGGTTCGAGCTACAGGAGCCTGGAGGTGTGAGGTGACAGGGAGGGACTGGGAGGGGATTTGGGGGGACTGGGAAGGGACTGGGAGGGGATTTGGGGGAGCTGGGATGAACTGGGAGGGACTGGGGGGAACTGGGAGGGGATTGGGACTGAACTGGTAGGTACTGGGAAGAACTGGGAGCTACTGGGGAGGGGACTGGTAGGTACTGGGATTAACTGGGAGGGACTGGGAGGGACTGGGACCTTGTTGTGGCAACCCCCGCTATCTCTGGGGCACCCCACAACTTGGGGGGCCTCGCCCTCCCCTCTCCCCCTCCCCCAGCTCCTTCCTCTGCCCCACGTTGGGCCCCACCCAGAGCCACTTCCGGCTGCGGCACAACTTCCATGGGCAGGTCTC